AAAGTGAGTAGAGTTGGAGTTGGGGTGCAGGGCTGGCCCTGACTCCCACCATGCTGAGGGGACCGCAGGCATCTCTGAGTTGGCTATGAAGGTTCCACCTGGGCTTTGGTGGGGCAAGGGTGCCACCTTCTGGACAGGCTCTGACAAAGGCCTGGAGACTGGCTCTGGTTTTAAAAAAAAAAAAAAAAGTACTGCCTTCAAGTCAGATCTGACTTATAGCGACCCCCCCTTGGGTTTCTGATGCAGTATCACTATGGAAGTAGATTGCCCAACAGGAAGGTAGTCTGGAGAAGAAGGCAGAGAAGTGCCTAGGTTACAGGTTCAGAACATGCCCTTAATTCTGTAGGTGACAGGAGACAGACAAGTTAGAGGATTGAAAATGACAGTAAGCACCTGGAAAACTAGGTTATTGTTAAAAAACAACCCTGGGGTAGGGGAGAAAACTAAGGTCCAGAGAGGAGTAACTAGTGACCTGTGCCACACTGCCAGTCAAGGGTCAGACTCCAGGTCAGGTGGTTGTAGAATGGGCTCGTGTGCCCTGAATCAAACTGCCCCTTGTCATGCCTACCTCTTCCACCAGGTGGGCCTGGGCCTGGGCTACCTGGAGCTGCCACAAATCAACTACAGACTCTCAGTGGAGCATAAGACCAGACCAAAGGTGGAGCTGATGCCGGGGATGCGGCTGGTGAGAGCACAGGGAGGAGGGTGCAAGCTAGGGGTCCATCCCCAATGGCCAGTAGCATTGACTCCAGCCTCCCACCCACAGCTGCAGAGTCTGCTAGACACACGTTGCGTGTATATCCTGGACTGCTGGTCAGACGTGTTCATCTGGCTTGGCCGCAAGTCCCCGCGTCTGGTGCGGGCTGCTGCCCTTAAGCTGGGCCAGGAGCTGTGTGGAATGTTGCACCGGCCTCGCCATGCAGCTGTCAGCCGCAGCCTGGAGGGCACTGAGGCTCAGGTGCACATTGATCCACCAATGGGCTGACCCTCCTGGAGCTGCTTCACCTACTTCCTACCCAGATGCTGATCCTGAACCCCACCCCACCCTAAATACCCACTCCTATCTCTAAACCTAGGATTTCCCCCACTGAGATGTGTTTAGTCACTCAGCCCTCCCAACACCCCGCCTGCCTGTCTCACTTTTGCCTCACCTTCTAAGACTCCAACTTTAACTGTGCACTTAACCCCACTTTCCTCCACTCTGGCAGGTATTCAAAGCCAAGTTCAAGAATTGGGATGATGTACTGACAGTGGACTACACCCGCAACGCAGAGGCTGTACTGCAAGGCCAGGGCCTGACAGGGAAGGTGAAGCGAGACACTGAGAAGAAAGACCAGATGAAGGCGGACCTCACTGCACTCTTCCTGCCACGACAGCCACCCATGGCTCTGGCTGAGGTAGGGGTGGGGCCGAGGAAAGGGGCCCAGGTGGATGGGGCTCAACTTGTCTTGGGAGGCAGGGCCACAGAGATAGGAGTCTGAAGGGGCAGATCCTGCAGTGGGGTGGGTTCTTGAGCATCTGAGGAGGGAGCACCCAGGCACACGTGTGCGATCTCATGTAGGCTGAGCAGCTGATGGAGGAGTGGAATGAGGACCTGGATGGCATGGAAGGCTTCGTGCTTGAGGGCAAGAAGTTTGCACGGCTGCCTGAGGAGGAGTTTGGCCATTTCCACACACAGGACTGCTACGTCTTCCTCTGCAGGTTGCTGCCCCAGAACCATCCCCAGAACAGGTGATGGTAGAGCTTGGGCCCCTGCTTAACCCTCTGACCTTGCAGGTACTGGGTGCCTGTGGAGTACGAGGAAGAGAAGAAGGAAGAAGAGGAGAAGATGACCAGAGTAGAAGACAAAGAAGGTGAGGTGGCCATGGTGGAGGAGAAGCAGCCAGAGGAGGACTTTCAGTGTGTCGTCTACTTCTGGCAGGGCCGTGAAACCTCCAACATGGGCTGGCTCACCTTCACCTTCAGCTTGCAGAAGAAGTTCGAGAGTCTCTTTCCTGGCAAGTTGGAGGTGCGGACACCCACCCTGCCATGCCCCCAATCTCGGTGCATTTCCCATAAGTATGGGGAGGGTTGTTGGACCAAAGAAGGTGGGTAGAGTGTTGAGGGTGCAGCCCTGACACCTTCCCCCCCCACCAGGTGGTACGCATGACACAGCAGCAGGAGAACCCAAAATTCTTGTCCCATTTCAAGAGAAAGTTCATCATTCACCGGGGAAAGAGGAAGGCAGCCCAGGAAACCTTGCAGCCAAGCCTCTACCAGATCCGCACCAATGGCAGCGCCCTCTGCACTCGGTGCCTTGGTGGTGGGAGGGCAGGTGGGGTCAGTAAGCGGGCCTGGGGTCAGTGGGAGATGCAGGACCCCCTGACCAACTATTGATACATTTACCAGGTGCATCCAGATCAACACAGACTCCAGCCTTCTCAACTCTGAATTTTGCTTCATCCTCAAGGTGAGACTGTGTGGGAAGGAGCCAAGGCTCTGGCCAAGGGCTGGAGCCAACCTGCCCCCTGTGTATTTCCCAGGTTCCATTTGAGAGTGAGGACAACCAGGGCATTGTGTATGCGTGGGTAGGACGAGCCTCAGACCCTGATGAGGCCAAGCTGGCAGAGGATATCCTGAACACCATGTTTGACACCTCCTACAGCAAGCAGGTACCCACATTGAGTGAGTGGATGGGTGGGTGGGCAGGACTTGGGGCTGGACTGACTTTCTTTTTACAGGTCATCAATGAAGGCGAGGAGCCTGAAAACTTCTTCTGGGTAGGCCTCGGAGCACAGAAGCCTTATGACGACGACGCCGAGTACATGAAGCACACACGACTCTTCCGGTAAGGCTAGAACTGACCTTTCACCCACCTGTCCTCCCCAGCTTCCCCTCAGCATCCCCTTAAGTCCTGGCTCTGCTGCTTGGTATCTTTAGCCTGACCCCCTGACCTTCCTGGCCTCCAGGTGCTCCAATGAGAAGGGCTTCTTTGCAGTGACTGAGAAATGCTCTGACTTTTGCCAAGATGACTTGGCAGATGATGATATCATGCTACTAGACAATGGCAGAGAGGTGAGACCCCTGCCCATTCAAGGAAGCCAGAAGAGGGGGCCTGTTCCTCAGTCACCCTCAAGACCACCTCTTTATTGTCCCCACAGGTCTACATGTGGGTGGGGACCCAGACAAGTCAGGTGGAAATCAAGCTGAGTCTAAAGGCCTGCCAGGTGAGCTGGGTAGAGGTCAGGCTGAGGAGTCTGGCCAGGAGGAAACCCTGTGGTTCAGGGTCCACAACTGCTCCTTCTCTCCAGGTATATATCCAGCACCTGCGTTCCAAAGAGCAGGAGCAGCCCCGCCGTCTGCGCCTGGTCCGCAAGGGCAATGAGCAGCATGCCTTCACCCGCTGCTTCCACGCCTGGAGCACCTTCCGGAAGGCCCTGACCTAGATCTAGGCCACGTAGCTGCACCCCTGCCCTGCACTGTTCCATTACCATGCTAAGCTCTGGGTGAGGAGAGGAAGTGGGGGGCCCCTCTGTCCACTACCACCTGCTAGAACACATGTGCAGGTGATAGCCCCTGCATAGCCACCCCAGTGCCCCAGTCCCCAATAGCACCTAAGGGGTGACCTGATGGGTTCCCTCAGAGAATCTGAGGAATTGAGCTCCTCCCAGTGTGAGCAGGCATGTGAAGCCCTTCCCTACCAGGGCTAAAGCAAGTACTCTTGCCCTTAAAGAAATATTAAATGCTTTTATTTTCAATATTAAAAATCAGTATTTTTAATATTAAGACAATGCTAATTTTAAGAAAATGACAAAAAAAAAAAAAAAAAAAAAGGTATAATCTACAGGGAAATCCATTCTGACCCCACAGCCCTCCAACTGGAACCCAGTCTATGTATGCACTCATGTGTGGGGGTTTGGGGAAGGGGTTTGTGCCACCAGGGGCCTGGATCAAATACCAAAATATTTTTAGAAATGACTGCCCATCCTAGGCATTAGAAAAATACTCTGTGTGTGTGGGGGTGAGGGGACAGCGTGTGAACACCTGGCCTCCAGGGTGGCTGACTACCTGTTAGCGGGGCCAGCCTGCATCTGCCTATACCTAGGGCTGGGCTGCTCTAGGCCTGGGGAAGGCAGGACAACAGGTCCCCACAGGAGCCCGCAAGTTAGCAGGTATTGTCTATGTTAAGGGGTCAGGCAGATGCCAGGGGTCAGGGCCCAGCTCTGAGTAGGGCAGGCGGTGGTGGTCGGGAGAGTTCTGGCTTCCTAGTAGAGGAAGAGAAAAGGAATCAGAAAAAGGCAGGACTAGGCCACACAGGTGCTTCCACTCAACCTTCAGAAGTCAAGACAGTGAGAGAGCTTGTTAAGATGGGCTTGGGGAGCATTGTGCCAATACCCAAGCACTGGACAACCTTTGGCCCACTGAGGCCAGGGCCCAGCCTGGGAGGGGGCCTGGGGACGCCAACCCCAGACAAAGAGGAGTTGGTGTGTCTGCTCAGTGCAGGGTATGGTTAGGGACTCAGGTGGTGGGATCACAGACATAGACAAATGGAATAGGCAGATCTGTAGGCCCGAATGGCCACAGATCTGGGTGGAGGCCAGTTAGCTTCCAGATAGACTCAACCTGTTGGCCTTGCCCAGTAGGACCTGACCTGATGTATATTGATGACTTCATATGTGAAGTAGGCTGGCAAAGCCAGCCACTGTACCACACACTGGCACCTCCTTTAAACAGTTCCAGACATCTGAGGCTACAAGGTTGGCCCTAACCATGGCAGTCACTCTGAGGCATCCTCCCTGCGTCCTCCCCCAGGATACCCTAGAGAAGGCAGCCTGACACCAGGGAAGGTAGCAACCATAGGGTTCTGCCAGAGTTTTAGGTACAAGCCCAGAAGTCAGGTGGTAGGAGGAAGGGAAGGGCCTGTGGGGCCCAGACACTGAAACCCAAGGGAATGAGGCTGCTGAGCAGTGAGGCAGATCGTAGGGCCCCTCACTCCAAAATCCCCCCTCACCAAAATCGCCTCATTTGATCAGGATGGTGCAGGTGCGGGCCTCATCTTGCACTGTGTTCCTCAGGTTCTTCTGGGGTTCCTCTGAAGAACTGAGGGAGAGGCAGGTGGGGATCAGGTCCTGGGGACTACCCTCTCAGTTTTCCATGTGCAGCAGGACATAGATGGGGGTGGGGAAGCCTAGAGTCCAGGTACCTTCCCCAAACTCTGCCTGCCCCACCTCACCCCAAGAAATCCTTCACATCCTCCACAGTGACATCCCCCGTCGTGTCCAGTGTGGTATCGGCGCTGGTGGCTGAGTCCACAGACATGGGTGAGAGAATGGCCTCAGTTGGCTCCACAGTATCTGGGGGGGGGGGGATAGGGGGATGGGATGAGATTAAGCCCTGCTTAGACTTTGAAGCACCCACCACACCTGGAATACCCACACATACCCAAGACTAAGCCCACAGTGGGTCACAGAGACAGAGCACACATTGCAGGGCACACTGAATACTCTCCTGCCTTACCATGCCCCCTCCCCAGGCCCCATCAGACCAGACTGCCCCTCCTCTCTTCATACCCCCAGCTCCCTTGCTTTGGGCAGTACAGGGGCTCCCATCACAGCTCCGTGGGGCCAGGATGATGCTTGGAGTCCCATTGGCTTGGCTCATCTTAGGCGACTCTTGGAGCCTATAGCTGCAGAGACAAGGCCATGACAGGGGCCACAGGCAGGCACTTTGGGCTGGACCCCTGCCCTGCCATTGCCAAACCTGGGACAAGACAGGGTTATACCAGGGAGGCTCGTTCCTTCCATGCACAAAGAGGAAGTGGGAATAAGACTTGGCATAGCCACATGCCTCCCAGGCTAGGGGCTCCTCTGATGCACGCACCTGACATGGGTAGTGTTGCGTGGCCAGCGAATGTCCAGAGAACACACTGGCTCTGTGATGTTCCTGGCACTTAGGGAAAAGCGTTCAAACTCTGATGGGGAAATCAGATAGAAACCTGGGTGTGGCAGGAGAGAAGGTAAGAAGTACAGTTAGGAGACAGATGTCTATTGAACCTTGGCTGGCCCTACCCCTCTAACACACATACACAGGCTGGGCCCACTGGAATGCCTTGTGCAAACCACCTAGCCCACCCACACTCACCCTGGCCATGGCGCGTGAAGACACAGGAGGCAATACCACTGATGTCCTCCTTCCGGATGCAGGAATAGTGCACCTGGGGCCGCAGGCCAGGCACCGAAAAGACGTGGACATCACCCAAGTTGGTGAGGCAGGCCAGGCAGGTCTCAGCATAGTCCTCACAGGCCACGCTGGCAAACGTAGCCAGTGCCACTTTACGCACACGGCATCCTTCATGGGCCGTCAGCTTGAATTTGGTCTTGGCACTCACCTTGGGCAGTGTGAACACCTGGTGACAGGTGGCCAGTGAGCAGAGCCCAGCCTCATCCCACCCCGAAAGAACCTCCCTCCCACCTCTAGCCAGGAGACACCCCCATGGCCACTGCCAGCAACCCTCACACCAAAGCCAGCCTCTCACTCAGGGCTCCACCCAAACTAGCACTGCTGCTCAGGACCTTCCAACTTACAGTCATACTACCCCCTCTACCTGCTGCACAGCCCCCTCTGCCACTGTACCTCACACTGGCCACTGCATCCTCCCACTCCTCCTTCTCATCCCCCAGACCTAACAATCTAAACACTGATTCCTGGAACTTCAGGACCTTCTTCCTATGACAAAATCAACTACACAGGGAGTAACAGTCATATACCTATACCTCCACCCAACCACGAGTCCCTACAAGGCACAGCCCCTGGGAGGTGTTTTCAGAGAGTCTTAGCAAGTCTGGAAGCCTTGGGAGGGACACAGTGAGGTAGGAGGGTCTTGTGGAAACTCTGCAGGGGGAAGGGTCTCTGGTTAATGAGATGGAATGGTGGTAGGGCAGAAGTCTCACCGGGAAGGTGAGAATCTCACTGGCATATAGGCAGGGAGGAGTCCTGAGGGGCCCAGTGGGTCTGCGCAGCAAAGGTCTTGGCAGCCCACCTTGAACTGCTCCTCAGACGCGATGAGCACAGCATGACCGCCCTGCATGTCAGGCGCCTGTGCCAGGTCCCGGGAGGCCTCATAGGGCTCAGGCAGTGGGCGGCCCCGCCCATCCAGCACAGCAATGGCCACCACTGGTGCTCGGTGCATCAGCTGTACCTCCTTGCCCAGCACAGCCTCTACTGCTTGCTCTGGCCGCTTCTCACTGCCTGTTGTTGCCGCTGCCAGCATCTCCAGCGCATAGGCAAACACGGAGCCCGAATTGGTGCCAGCCCACAGGGTGGGGCCGTGGTGGACAGCTGCAGGGGCGGGGCTCATAAGGAGCTGCAGGGGCCAGGACCCTACCTCCCTGTGCACCTAGGCACTCCCACTCCTCTCAAGTGGTCTCTCCCCATCTCCCCTTCCTAATTTGAGGCCCAGACTCAGGACAGCCTCACTCCTATCTCTATCCCCCAAGGGGCTTTGACCCCTGGGGCATGGATACCATGATCTCCACAATGATGCCCAGTCTAAGGCTTCAACTTAGCCCTTCTGCAGTGACCGCCAGGAGACTTCCCAGGGACACACAACAGGCACCATAAATTCCTCCAAGCTATCTCACCCACCCACCCCGCCACACCCCAGCACAGCACATGGAGCTGCTCGAGCCCTAGACCCGTATATCCCTCGACTCCTCTGGTCCATGCCCCATCACTTAGTCTTATGGTGCTACATTAGTAGAAACAATCCCAGTTCTTCTCCATCATGGATCTACCTGGACTGCCTGTAGCGTCTCTGCCTCTACAAATCCATAGCCCCACCCCAGCCCCTGCTGCACCCTCACCCCCTCTGCAGTCTACTTCCCACACAGTAACAAGGAGGAGCCGGCTATTTAAACAAGGAAGCCTCCAGGCTTGAGACATAGAAAAGGAAGGAAGTCTGGATTGCCGGCTACCAGGAATGCATCTGATTGAGTGGGCTAAAACCAGCCAGGAGTCCGGTCAGGGGCCACAAGCAGCAGCTTCAGCGTCACCAACAATGTTGCAAAAGGCTTATCCCTTAGGTCCAGCACGTGCTCCCCCAGCACTCCAAAGTATGAATGTGTGCACTATCCTGCCCTCCTGTGTGGCTGAACCTCTGGGAGGCCTCACTGAGAAGGATACGTCCTAGGGGAGAATCAGAGCCCATAAATGCAGAAAGAAAGGTGGCCCTATATATATCACAGATGGATCTAAGCAACTGCCATTAACAGAACACAAAACCCAGAGGGGAAAGTCCCTGAGTAATCCCTAGCACCACAGAGGAGACTCCAAGACTGGCAGCAAGGCCACCAGGAAGCCAGCCCTCTGTCAGCCTGAACCTAGCCTGCCCTGGGTAAGGGCTGTGGGCAAGTCAGAGACCACCCAAGGCTGCACCAGCCATACCCAGACATGGGTAACTAACAGACTAACTTCCTCAACAAAAAAATGACTCAAAGAGGCCAAGACACACCATGCACATGCACCATGTGGGCCTAACTTGGACACAAGGCCAAGCACCAATCACAAAAAGACATTTTTGAGTGGAAGGACATGCCTGCAGTCCAAGGAGTGCACCTTCAGTTCTACAGGGTGGCCTGGCATTGTGAGGCCAGCCACATCTCTGTTGAAGACACATAGGTGTTCACAGGGGAATGACAGAGTGTATGGGCTTTGACTAAAAACACTCCAGCAGGATAAAAGCAGCAGCAAGGGGCACCATTCGCAGTAAGCTGCTGGCACCAGTGGGGGTGACTGTAACCCTCTATTTTTGTGCATATTTGAAATATCCATTAAAGTAAATTACAATCAAATGATCAACCAATAAACCCACCCATGATGCTTCTCTGCCAGGACCCTCCCATGGCTCCCAAGCTGCTCATTCAGTGTCCTCACCCTGGCAGGCAAGACCCCTGCTGCCTTCTTAGTGCATTGTGCTGCTTCCCATACCACGCCCACTTCAGGGCCTTTGCACTGGCTGTGGCCCTGCTTGCAGGTTTTGGGGAGGCCTTCCTGGGTCACTCACCAATTCCTCACCATAGGAAATTCTACAGTCCCTCACCCCCTGGGCTCAGGATACTTTCTAACCTCCTGGGACGAACTCTGCCCCTACCTGCCCCCTTCCCTGGTCTCACCATCACGAAGGAATGTGTCAGCAAAGTAGAGGCAGCGCACCACACCCGAAAGGGAGTCATCTGCCGAGCGGGGCTCAATGCGGCGCTGCACGGGTGTCACCTCCACGTCATGAGGGCAGGCCTGCTCTGCCAGCTGCGCGTTGGCCTCCTGCAACTGGGTGGAGAATGAGGCACCAGGGCCTGAGCACCAATTTCCTGCCACCTACCTGGCACCCAGCACTCACCACAGTCAATTTAATTGCCCTCATGGTCTCCCTTCTCATGGCTAAGGACCTAGGCTGCTGGATGATGAACCGTATCAGGTGAGTAAAAGCCTTATTCCAAGCCAGGGCACGACCAGGAGGCAGCAGTATCCCGCTGGAGGCACACCATCTGAGCAGCCTCACAGGATGACCTCCACCCAACCAGGCTGCTCACCTTGCTGTTGGCGTTCATAGCCCGCTTCTTGCTGGACACCCGGCTCTTGCGAATACGCCGGAAAGACTGACGCAGTGACTTCTTGAGTGACTTCACTCGTGAGAGTGGGCCCTCCATGGCCAAAGAGTCATTAGGGTGAAGGGTGCACCTGGGGGCAGGCAGGAGTCAGTCAGGAGATGCCAGTGTGGCTCCTGCCAGCTCAGAGACTGGGCATGCCCCAGTACAGAAACAAGCCCCTCAGACACCTCCTTGCTGACTCAGCAATTGGTGGTGCTTAACACTCCATTAGCACTGCCTTTAAAACACTTCATATTCTTCATAGGAAGACAGAGGTTTTAGATGGGAGATGGGGGCCCAGAGAGGTGTAAGGGTTACCTGAGGCCCCATGGGAGCAGGAAGCAGGGTAGAAGTTCAGACCTTATGCCCCACCCTGGGACCCCAGTCTTGCCCCAGACCCAGTGGCCTCATCACTGCACCTGGCCAGCACAGGGCTCTTGCGTTGATAGTCAAAAAGACCAAAGCCATGACTGGTGCCAAAAGCTACAAGGCCCCACTCAGTGTGAAGTGTGACAGCAGTGACGGCAGCAGGTGGCAGGCACTGCACCAGCACGCGGGGCTGGAAGCCGGCAGGCCAAGGCAGTAACCCTGTGCTTGGGTTCAGCCGGTCATGGCCCTTCCATGTGAAGCCTTCACGGTCCTGGAGGAGGTCCACACTGGCCACACTGATCGCCTGCTCAGCCGGCATGTCATTCAGTTCCAGCACCAGCACCTGGGCCGTGGCAGGCAGGGAGACAGGTCAGGGAAGAGCAAGGGCCCAGCCACTGCCAGGTCTGCCCCAAGATTGCCTCCTCTACTCTACTGACTAAGCATCTATTGAATATCGACAGTAGACCAGGGTCCTTGCTGGGCACCAAAGAACACGGCAGCAACCAAGACCCACTGCGCCCTGCCCTCCCCTGGTCTACTATTTCCCAGTTAGCATCAAACACACATTGAGCATCTTGTGTACAATGTGTTGAGTGCCACAACACAGCCATGACCAGGACCCACTACCCAGACTTGTGTACTGCTGAACTTGATGCAGACAAGTAAGAATCACCTAATACCTGTTTCTGCCCCTGGGCCAGCCTGCCATGGTTCCCCACAACCAGAGCCAGGCTCTCAAGCTCCCAGCCGGGGGACCTATTTCCTGTCTGCCCTCACTTCCTCTACCATTCCACCAGACCCAACAATCCAGGCTACTCCTCCAGAAAGCTTTCCCTGAGATCCTCAACACTGGAGATGACCCCTCAGCCCCACCTGGCCTGCGGTGCCAGCCACCACCATCTGGGCTGTGTACTTGCAGAGTGCCACCTTCTGCACACCTAGCCGGGGGTCGTCGCTGTAGGGGTCGAAGCAGCCCACCTGGGGGAAGAAGGAATGAGGACGAAGGTAGGCCAAGGTGGCTCTGCTGGGCAGTGGGGCAAGTGCGAACCTTGCGGAAGGGTGGCCAGTCGTCCTCAGCAGCCTGGCCTAGGTTGTCAGCATGCTCGAAGTCTGTCTGGAACAGACCAGCTGTGCTCAGTTTGTAGAGGGGTCGCAGAGCCACGCCCGAGGCATCCCAGAACCGCACAGTGCCATCCTCGTGGCTGTAGGGGAGTATCAGGGCCATTCATGTTAAGGCTGGCTCACTCTCCATTCACTCACCCCATAAGCACTCACCAAGCACCTGCACATACATATAGACTGACTGGTCTTACTGCACACAAAGACACACTAAGCACCTACTGCATAAGGCAAGCAGGTACTGAGCACCTACTGTATGCCAGCCAAGTGGGAAGGTGAGGAACCACCAACACTTACTGAACCTGAGATGGCAGAGGGAGTGGTGTGAGGGAACAGAGCACTAAGTGTGAGTGCCAGGACACAATGCCCTCACTAGGGGCAAAGTGGTGAGCAAGTCACAAAGTAGAGGACAGTCATCCCAGGAGGAGGGGCTGGTGGAGCACAGGGTGGAACTGTGGCCAGAGCTGCAGAAAATGGTGGGGAAGAGGTGGTGGGTGGAGGAGTAGTAGACAAATCTAGGGCACAACCTGGAGACACAGCTGCGTAGCCCAAGTTGGGGATCCCTGGGCAGCTGGGGATCCCTGGGACCAGGGCATGACAAGAGGCCTGAAATTCATGGGGCTAGTTGGGATATCCCACTCCAGCAGCCATGAAAGACACAGTCTGTTCCTGTACAGGGGAGGGAACACTGGAGCCCAGAGGCCAGAGGGTCCCAGCACAGGCAGACAGCAGGGGCAGGGCAGGAAACTGGGGCCTGAGTCATCGGGCACGTCAACACCCGCCAGGCCTTCCCTCACCTGCCCTGGAAAGCTCAGCGTGGGCCAGCCCAGATTTTCCGGTCTCAGGCAGGCAAGGTAGGTGGAGCCATGGGATTTGGCAGAGCTCAGTTCCAGGCCAAAAGGCAGGGTGGGGTGGGCCTTGAACTAGGGTCTAGGGAGGCTTTATTCCCCCAGGGTGAACTGGGGATGACACACATGCATATCACACATGCCATGCCCAGCCATGGGGCATGCAGGCCTGGCCTACCCGGTCAGCAGTAACCCACGCTGTGATGGCTCCTGGGCCAGGTTCTGGCCCCCAGTAATGGGCCAACTCTGGGAAAGGAAGGCAGAGATGTGAGCACAAGGTTGGAACAAATGTTTTCTCCCCATAGAGCATGACAGTTCCCCACATACTTTTGCCACGTGCTCACTTCCAGGCCTGGCCTGGCAGTGCCACCACTGGGATACCCTCCCTGCCACCATCCCACCCAGTAGGGTGCCCAGGGCACACACTGAGGTGCTAGAGCCAGGCTGGGGGCTCTGCTGCTCGCCCAAGCTCACAAGGTGGGCCCACAACTTGGCAGGGACATTGGCAACATGAGCTGAGCAGGTGATGGCAGATGAGTGCAAGGGGGCGAGGTACGGGGCGGGCACAGCTGGCCAGCCGGGTGTTTGCAGGTCCAGTACTACCAGCTCCTCTTCAAGTAGCACAGCCAGGGCCTGGGGATTGTCGAATTCTGTGGGGCAGGAAGTGGGGTGAGCCGACTGCAGGCAGTACAGAGCATAAGGCAAGGAGAGGAGTAGGCACACACCATCCTCAGGCTGCATGCTGTGCACCGTGAAGAAGTCAATGACACGGGAGGTGAAGTCCAGGGTCACCAGAGTCTCAGCCTGGAGCACACTCACACAGTGGCGGTCCCCATAACTGGCACGGGGCATGCCACCACTGAAGATGATAAAGTGGCCCCTGCACAGAGTAAGAGGTTCATGAGCCCCAAGCCACCTGTGCATGTGTGGCCCAACCCCAGAGCCCACCCCCAGACCCACTCCCTCAACTTACCCTGATTCACAGTTTCGCCACAGAATCTTGTTGATGGCTTTGCAGGGGAAGGGGCCTAGAGACAGGACAGAATGTCAGGCCAACTTGAGCCCACCTCTTACTGATGCTCCCAACCTGCTGTGTCCCCAGCTAGGCTGAACATTGCACTAACGGTCCTCAACCTCACAGGTACTCCCAGCTCCCAGGAAGGAAGGCCATTACCCCAACCATGTACCTTGGGGGAGTTTCACCTGTGGGAGGTTGGCACTGCAACTTTCAGAAGTCCTCCTGGGTGCTCCCCACCAAGGACAGGCAGCGCAAATGCTGTGGGGTGCCATGTCAGGTCCCCCGACTGCCCATCACCCTCCACTCCTACTCCAGGAGGCCCCAGGCACTCACCGTAGGGTGTGGTGGCTGCCGTGGGCTGCAACACCATGGAGTTGCCTGAGTCCACAGGCCAAATGGTGTAGCTGCCATCACTGTGGGAGCTGACAATGGTGCCACCACTGCGCTCCCAGCACAGACTCTCCAGCTGCTATGGGATGGATCATGGAGAGAGAAGGATGTGAGCAAGGCGCAGGCAGCAGGAGGGCAGGGTGTGGCAGGCACAGCCCACCACCTACCTGGTTGCCCAGGAAGACATAATTCACACATCGCGCAGCCTGGCTCCAGATGACCAGCAGGCCCCGGCTGTAGCCGATGAGGATCTTGCTGGGGTCCTGCAAGTGCCCCTGAAGAGATTCCACAGGGCCCAGAGCCTTCCCACATCGGTAGTCATCAGGCAGGCTGCAGACAGAAACTCCGTGAGGCTGAAGGACAGCTTCCCAACCACAGGGCCACTGGGGTCAGGCACCATCACCTCTCACCTTCGCAGAATCTCGTCAGGGCCAAGGGTCTGCCCCTCGAGCAGTGTCAGTGTGTCCACGTCCAAGAAGAAGACACTGCCGCCCTCAGTCCCCAGGGCTGCCCTGTCACCATTAGCCATCAGCAGGACCACAGTGACCCGGGAGATGCTGGGCAGGGTGCTGTTGGGAGGGGGGAGGGTTGAGGGTGCAAGGCCCACCTGCTAGGATAATGCCAAAGGGCTAGGCTGCTACTGTAAGCTCAGTGCTGGCCCCTCTGCATGCTGGCACTTAATTACGGAGTTGGTTGGCGTACAAAGAACTAAAGGTAGCAGCTCCACACATCATAATTAACCTGCTCAATTATTCATCAGGACATTGCAAGGAAAGGAATAAAAATAGGTTTCCTAGATCTGGGAGACAGGCAGCTCCTCAGCTCCTTCTGCCCACGAGGAGGGTCAGACAAGAGTTAACCCGCTGATCCAGGATAAGAGCTCTAGGACAGCACAGAACCTCTGCCACCAGCCCTCTGGATATCCCTGACTTCAGGGAGGCCCCAGCATGGCCCCTGGGCAAGAGCAGGACAAGCCTCTCTCTTTTTTCTTAATTTTATTGTGATTTAGGTAAAAGTTTACAGGGCAAATTCATCTTCCATACAGCAGTTCACATATACTTTGTCTCATGACATTGACTGTAATCTCCCACAATGCAATAGCTCTCCTCCCACTGCCTCCCCATAGCCACCTCTTCCCTGTGTCCTTCCCTCTCATGCATGCCTGCCCTCCAAGCTGTCTCCCTGTGCATACACAGCCCTTGTATTTGCCCATGATTGATCTCTCCAAGGAATGTATCTACCTACTGTAAATGTTCAGCTCAAAGCCTGTCTTTTGTTTGGCCAGAAACCACAGGAATGGGTTCAATTCCAGACCTGAAGGGCAGCTAGGGGCCATAGTCTCAGTGGGGCCATAGTCTCAGTGGTTCCACCAGGCTCTATCAGACCAGCAAACCTGGTCCCCCTCTTTTTTTTCCAATGATTTTGAGTTTTATTCCACATTGTTCTCCCACTCTATCCAGGATCTCTTACATAGATCCCCTTCCGAGTGGTTGACAGTAGTAGCCGGGAACCATCTAGTTCTTCTGGTCTCATAGTTGTATAGGCTGAGGATCACATGGTGTGCCAGTCACTTGGACTAATTGTTTCCACGCATCTTTGGTTTTCTTCATTCTTCTTTGCTCTGGACGAGGAGAGACCCATCGTTGCATCTAGATGGCCACTTGCAAGATTTTAAGATCTCAGTCACTACTTGCTGAAGTAGGATGTGGAACAATGTTTTTGCATAGTATGTTATGCCAATTGAGCTTGATGTCCCCTGCGACCATGCTCCTGAGCCCACAGGTCCAACTACTTATTCCCTCTGGGTAGCTGGCTGTGGCTAAGAAGTGACTACAACCTAGGACAAGCCTCTCTTAAGAGTCTAGCCAGATGGGCCTGGCCCATTCCAGCCACTCCCAAGGTGGGGGCCAGCAGGGGTCAGGAAGGGAGAGGTACCACCATGTTCTAGCCACTTACTCTTTTACCAGGGGCCCAACTCCCAATCCACTGCCCTCTGCGGCATCCTGCCAGCATCTGCTATAGCACAGCCAGCAGGACTCTCGTGCCCTAAACCTGCCCTTGAAGGTCCATACCTCCACTCTAACTCAAGAAGCTGGAGGGCCCTCACCTATGTCAGGTCTGTGTGGTCCTACCCTAGCCTGGTCATTAAGTCCCAAGACCTCACACCATCCCAAGGAATGCAACACTAGGCAGCCACAATCAGCTGAGTCTAGGGTACCCTGGCTCACCTCTGTCCTGTGTTCCCACTGCTCACAACGTGGCAAAGGCTCCAACTAGTTGCAGATACCTACCTGCTCACCTCGGACTAAGCTGGGATCTCCCACTAACACCTCTAAAAGTCCACATAACAGATGTCAGGAGACACATCAGTCACACAAGGTCCAAATGCTCAGCCAGAGACCCAAGCCTGGCTCAACTTACCCCAAACCTGAACCCCAGCCCTCCTGACAAATTTAAGCATGCCACACCCTGCATAGGGGGCTAAGTGGCCCAGCACTGGCAGCTAGTGCCCAGTCGAGGCTTCCAGTACCTGCTACTGTCAAAGCCAGGACGGCTGGGCAGCTGGAAGCTGAGCGTTTCCTCCAGGTGGGCGCAGCCATCATGAGGGATGATCTCCCACAGATGCAAGCTGTTGTCATCCAAAAGGGTCAGGAGGCGGCCCTGGCAGTAAACAGAGAGAGCAAGACTGGGCAAGCGTGGGAGGGAGGGCACAGGGGAACCCTGGAGATGCGCCTGGAGGATGGAGGCTCACCTGGCCGGGCAGGAAGTGCATCTGGGCAACGGTGGCTGCATCATGGTGCAGACCTGTGAACTCCACACCGGGTGCACCATAGCTGAGGGTGGCTTGTCAAGGGCAGAAACAAGCAGGTACTGCCAGGGAAACCAAGGCACGGAGATACCCTCAAGCCTCCTTCTTCCTCAGGACTATTTCAGTGGGCCCCATCCTGGGCCTTTCTAGCCAGGAGTCCTCAAATGTTAACCCCAGGCACCCCCTGGCCCACTGCAGGGGTATAGGCTCTACCAGCTCCTATAAGCTGGTGCTGCTTGTGTGACCTTCATATCCGCCTCCATAAAAGGCCCAGTGATTCCCACTTCCCAGGGCTGTTATGTAGTGCAAATAAGAATAAACATATGCCTGACACACTTAGCCCAGGCCTGATGCATGGCTGTGGCCCCATACCATCTCAGCCTCATGTTCACAGATGTACATTTATCTGTATGCATGTTTATGTGTGTACATGTGTATCCATATGTGTGTGTGCACATGAGCATCTAAGAGCCATGCCTGGCACATCTGGCTAGAAGAACCCTGTCATAACAGGACAAATAGAGGCCAAAGAACCACATGTTCTGGCCAGGAAGATCTGAAGGACAGAGGAAAGAGTCCAGGCTGCCTCTTCCCATTGCTTCAGGCCAAACTCCAGCTGTGGGCAAGGAAAGCAACCTCCCTCCAGGGCACGTAGCCAAAGGCCTTCACTTCAAAGGGAGAGCAACCCTGGCCTGCCCATTTTACAGATGAACACACAGAGGTTTGGAGAAGTTGGGTGACCTGCTCAAGGAGCATGTGTCAGTGTTAGAGTCCTGGCAACTTTAAGTATGACAGTGGACCTGGTGGACCAGCACGCCTGCCGGGCCTCATGAGGGTGAGCTAGAGGGGTGGTCAGTGAGGCCTGATGTTGCCCTGGTGACAATAAAGGAGCCTGTTGCCTGGAGCTTGAGCTGGGATTCCCAGCAGGAATCTGGCAGGGAACACAGAGGAGGGGACAAAAGAGGGGGCAGGAGCAGCAGGCGGGGAACAGGGTCGCCAAGGAGATGTGGCAGGCCTTGTGGGGGAGGGGTGGCTTTGGTGACCAGGGCTGGCCCTTTCCAACCTCAGTTTCCCTATCCCAATAGCCCAGGCTGTGGAGGCTCTGGGAAAGGAAGGAGGGTGCTCCCACCACCTCTCCGAGGCTCAATTTCACATCTGTAAATCAAGTTCTTTGTGAGGACACAGAAAGCTGGCGTTCAGAAAGCCCACAATACAGGAAGGCAGTCTGAGGGCCCCCACAGCCAGGCATGGGCACTGGGAGTCTCAGGGAGACACCGGCCTGCTGATAGGGAGCCCCAGCATCACAGGGGCTACTGGGGAGGAGGGGGAGCCCACCCACCACACCCAGCAGAGAAGTTAAGAGGCTCCAAGGCACAGGCTAGACAAGCACCCCAGCCTAGTCAGGGCCCCAGTCCCTCCCCTTTCCAGGCACGAATTCATTTCCTGTCAACCTGTGTCACTAAGGAAAATACTAGACCCAAAGGGACACATGCGGAGGGGTGGGTGAGTACCCCCAGATAAGCAGCCTTAGCTGTCAGCAGACGTGCCTGAGGGGCTGCCCATCATACAGTGGGTGGGATTCTCATGGTAGGCAAGAAGTTCAGCTGCCCCTCCCTCCCGCTTGCAGGGAAAATGCTTGCTTTGTGCAGCTCACACGGCCCGATTGTGCGGCTGCCAGGGCCCAGGTGGAGCTGTGATATGCTCTCCATGCCCACCCTGGTACTGTCCCCAGCCCTGCGCTGAGCCCGCATGTGTGTACACTCACAAACATGTGTGCCTGGTTACCAGGGAAAGGCATCCATGTCAACCCCAGGTCCCTGCCACCCTGTGTTTACCACCTCCTAGTCCCCGGCCCCTAGTCACAGCTCCTGTATTGATGGCAGGGTCACCTAGGTAACTGCCTTAATGAGACACAGGGCAGGCATACCATCCCGGCTCACAGTAAAAGAACCCCCTTTCTGTGAGGACACTCATAGACTCAGAGGCTGTGCTAACCCCCATATTGTGGCCCAAGATCTCAGTCTTCACCATAGCCTCTATCAGAGCCCCTCCATCCTCACTCCCTAGTGGGCTGGCCTTAGGCAAGGACTAGGACCCAGGAACTGCCAGCAGGCCCCAGCTGCAAAGGATACATCTTGACGGCCCCAGACCTGGTGCCAATGGCCATGATGCGCAGTTCCGGGTCGAAAGCCAGGGCGCTAGGCTGGTTGGGAAACCCATGTTCCACGGTCTGTGGGGAGGGGAGGTTGTTGGGATAGCAGGGGGTATACTCAGGCACAGCTGCTCAGTCCTCCCTGAAGTAAGCTCAAGGCAATCAAGCTCCTGTCATCTTATGTCACGGGGCAACCAGAGCCAGCAGCATCAGCTCTCTATGCTCCATATTCTATGAAATGGGCCCTGCACCTCCAGTCAGTATGCAGGCATAAGACCCACAGCCCTTGACTTTGGTGGGTGGGAGGCCCGCACACCCCTCAATGTCATCACCTCTACTGTGCAAAGGTACTGGCAATGCATGGTCCAGAGAGGCTAGCACCAGAGGAGACCCAAGACCCACCTCCCATGAGTTGGGGCTTATCACCCCATCACTGGAGGCACAGGCTGAGGCTCAGTGAAGAGACATGTTGCCCAGGCTCCTACCTAGAAGACCATGGAGCACTCCAAACACAGGCCCCACATGGAAATTAGAGGTCAAAGGTCAACACCAAGGGTCAACTGGACAGATACTCTTGATGCCCCCAGGGAGCTACTCTACCCTCCCCTAGACCCAGAAACAGGGAGACTGAGGCCCATAGAAAGGTGGCTTCCAGCCCAACTCCTGAAAGAGGTCATTCACTCTCAGACTTTGGTTCCCCTACCTGGAAATCGGGCAACTTGATTCCTGCCTTCTATCAGTGGTATAAAGGGGGTTGCACACTGGGCATGCTAGCAGAACAGCTCCAAAGACGCCACACAGTAAAGGTCAGTTCCAGGCAGTCCAGCCCCTTCCCACCATCATGTTCTGCATACAGTTTCTTCGCCTGTGCCCTCCTCAGTCGGCCTGCCTGAGGAATTCCTGACAAGTCTCAAGGGCCCCCTAGGGATGCCTGCAAAGTAGCCCCCAGCCCAGTCCTGATACCACTTGAGGGCCATACCACCCAACAGAGAGACAGACTTCCTGAGGTAACTGGCCTCCCTCCCAGCCTCAGCCCATCCAAGTCAGGATGGAGCCCTCTGGGCAGCTGGTGTGGCTATGGCCTTGCTGTTTAGCCTTGGGCAGGTCACAGCACACTCAGTTTTCCCACCTGGACAATGGAAGCAGTGAGCACACCTGAGGACAAAGTTGCCCACTGAGAGGGTGTGGCTTCCCTTTCCCACCAGCACTGCCAGTCCATGCTGGGCCTGGCTTTGGCCAGTGCCTGGTTTAGGCCGTAGTGTCCAGCACACAGGACAACTGCTGAGTGTATGATACATGGAGCCCCACAGACAGGGTAGGGCCTCAGTCCAGTGTCTGGTTTCCTCATACCCCAACCTCAATCTATCTTGACCCCATCAGCTCAGTTTCTCACACCCTGCAGCCCCCACCCTGCATCAAACCTCAATAGCACTTGCCTGGACTAGTGCTGCAGCAGACTTGGTGGCTTCCCTGCTGCCACCCTGCCCACTTCTGCACCCGAAAATCTGCTCTCCACATAAGCCAGAGGGAGCCTGTGAAAACTTAAGTCAGACCTGGTCCCTCCTCTGCTAGGATGCTCTCAGGGCTTCCACTGCACTCAGACTCAAAGCCAGAGTCCACACCATCCGGCTCCTGGCACCTCTGGCTCTCATCTCCTCCCTCCCACTCTCCCTTGTTCTCTGGACTCTGCTCTCTACTGCCTCTGTGCTCTCCAATTCAGAGGAGGCAGAGGAGAGCTTTATCACCTGCTGTTCCTTCTGAATGGACTGCACTCTCCACTGCACTCCTCACAGCAGGCTCCTTCTCACCACTCAGGCCTCAGCTTAGAGAGGCCTCCCTAAAGCACCCCAGCTATAGTAGCCACCCTTATCCACACTCTACACAACATCACCCTGCTTTATCACCTGGCCACTGGTCAAAATATTGCCTATTTTACTTTTTTGTTTTGGCTTCTCACTGCCTCCCCCACTGAAACATTAGCCTCCTGAGAAGACAAACCTATCTGTCCCTTTTAGTCACTACCATGTCCCTAGTACCTAGGAGGAGACTTCAAACACAATAGGGGCTCAATACCTGTTAAACTGACAAAGTGGACATCCCACAAGCAACTTGTGAGCAGGGCTGGGATATGAACCCAAGACTGTCAGAATCCAAACTCTATGCTTGCCCCAGACCCACCCCTCCACTTGGGATCTGGGGCCAACAAGCTAGCGATCATCTGCCATCTCCTTTGGCCACCCAGACCCTTCCCCAAGCATACCTCCCTCCCTCATACTACTGCTGCCCACTCCAAGTGAGGCCTCATCCTCCTTGACAGAGTTCTCACCTTCTGCCAACCCAGGGCCAGCCAGGGGAGGCAAGCCTCCCCCCATCTATTCCAGCTCCCCGTTCACACTCCACCTTACTGGTAAGGAAGTGACACTTTAGCTCAGTGTGTATCCCACCTCCTATTCTTCTCTCACCTTATGGGACTCACCCTCATAGCGACGCAAGCACAGGAAGTAGAACCATCTAGAGGTCCTCTCAAGCAACAGTCTCCCCACTGAGACCCTCTCAGGTCCCTGGCAAGTTCTCTGCCTCCAAGTCTGAGGGTCCTGGCAACCCTCCTACCCATTTCCACCACTACCACGGACCTCATAGGGAACCCCTGTTCACCCTGGGATATGGACCCAGTGCCTCAGTCACTCTAAATCCAACCACCCCAAAGCTTTCTCTGGACAAGAGCCTCCTCATGGTGGTTGAAGGCATCTGGTACCAGCTCAAAACCACAGCAGTCCCTCCAAATATCCAATTGACAGATGCCAGGACAAAGTGCCTCAGCCCTCTCTGATCTTCGGCAAATCATCACTCCTCTCTGAACCTCAATCTTCTAACCTGTAAAATGGGGGATAATAATTCTAATCTCCAAGAGTACTGAGGGCTTGTGGCATAAAACTGATACCAGAACCCACTGACCCAGCAGGTGTTCACGAGAAGCCAGCCATGGGGTCTTGTGCTACCACGCATTAGTGCAAAAGGAGACATGGGCTTTAGTCCCTTTCCCACTGCCCTTTCTGCTTCATCCAGGGAAAGAAAGGAAGGAGCAGCCCTCCACCCCACCTTCTCTGTGGCTCAAAGTGTCAGGTCACTGGCCCATGAGACACAAGGTGCCAGAGCCCACAGTAGAGTGGAAGAGGTGTCGTTTCACAGCAAGGAAAACTGAAGCCCTGAGATTTGAAGTGCAGTTGGGTCACAGGCCAGGCATCTCCCCTGGACTCTGAGCGCAAGGCAGGGCAGAACCCAGGGCTGGCAATGGGGAGAGGAGAAAAGAACCTGGTAGGGATTTCCCATCCCCACCCCCACGTCTGCCTCCACTCCTCTCTCCTCGCCCCACCATGGTGCGGAATGTACACAACCTCGCACCCTGAACGCCCCAAGAGCTGGACTGGGGGGTGTGCATGGAAGAGGCTCACGGAGAACACGCCATAAGGAGAGAATAAGAGAGTGAGTGCGCCAGAGACCCGGTGGAGACATGCAGAGTAGGGAGAGACACTTGGAGAGAGACAGGCAAAGACTCTGAGATGCAAAGACAGAAAGAGCGAGGAACCGGGAGGCAGTGGGATGGGGGAGCCTTGGCAGAAGGAGGCGGCGACACAGGCCAGATTGAGGACAGGAGTCGGGCCCAGAGACAGAGAGACGGGCCGTAAAGTCGGCGGAGACCCGCAGCTGGAGTCCACGGAGGGTGGGGGGCGAGCGCGGGGCCGGAGGCGCCGCCGCCCCTCCCCCGCCCCCAAGTCCTAGCCCCCAGCGCCACTCCTGGCCTGGCACCTTGTGGAAGGCGAACAGCTCCTGCTTGAGCTTCTCGCGCTGCGGATCTGCGCCTTG